ATTGGAGGAAATCTTCTGGTAGTAATCTCCATCTATCGCAATCCCAGTCTTCGTACCATCACTAACTACTTCGTACTCTCGCTTTCCGTGACTGATATCCTATATCCCGTGATGGGCTTGCCCCTCACACTCGCTTGGTCTATAAAGAGTCGCTTTTTTTTGGGAAAAGGCTTTTGTGATCTCCAAGCCATCATGATAGCATCTCTCATTCTGGTGTCGCTATTAAATATGATCTTCATGGCCTACAACCGGTTTGTCCGCGTCTGTAAGCCCCAGAAATACGCCAGCATTTTCACCAAGAAACGCTGTTATGCAATGCTAAGTGCTGCGTGGGTCTTAAGCTTTCTTGCGGTAGTTCTGTACAATAAAGTGGGGAATAGAACTTTCTATGCAAAGTTCATACCAGAGGAAATCCGATGTGGCTTCGTTTACGGATCCAAAGATATTGTCTTCAAAATAATGGGAAATTCAATCCTCACAGCAAGCCTCACTGGTCCATTTTTGCTTATCGTTTACTGCTACATTCGAATATTCAAGAAAATTCGAAAACACAAGAGAAACACCGCTCCTCAAGGACAAGGTAACCTAGCAACCAACGTACGAGAAATCAAGATCACGTGGATAGTATTTGCGGTCCTTGTGGGGTACTTTTTGACTTGGATTCCAGTTCTGGTCATCACACTGCTGGTGAATATGCATATAGGTCATATGCCTCGTCAGGCTCGTATAGTGGTCATATACACCGGTGTAAGCAGCTGTGCCATTAATCCTTTTATATATGCAGTCATGAACACGTCGTTCCGGCGGGAATACAAGAAGATATTTGGTCATTGACCATGGAGAATTACAGCAAGTTCTTCTAGTAATTTCATATACCGACGCCAAAAGGGAGCTTGTCATAGCAACCATTTTTACTTTAAATCTCTTAAATTTGCTCCTTCGACACTTTAAAAACAAAAACAAATATATTTCGATCGATTAGAAACAAAAAAAAAAACAAAAACAAAAACAAAAAAAAACAAAAAAAACAAACAAACAAACAAACAAAAAAAGGAAAAAGAAAAAACACTGATAAGGCTTAAAGTTTACTACTATACCCAATCCACCATATTTTGGTCAGTTGTGTTGAACCAGTTTACATCCCTGGCTGAGAGACATTGCTTTGAATACGTTTTTAATACTCGCAAAACCTGGCCTGTAATCTTATGTGGCGCCAAATCACAAGAAGTGCAAAAGAAGAAACGAAATCCAAGGACGTCCATGGACCCTTCTCATGCAAAATCTTGAATAAGAGGCTAACATGGAAATACAAAACTGAGAAATACCGCAAATTATGTCGAGAAAAAGCGTGTATTCTTTGTATTTTCACGTTAGGCCCCCATCCACGATACTTTTAAGAAGGGTACATCAATCGCACGCAAGATCAATTAGAAGTAATTTTGAAAAACATTCCTACTAATAATGTCGAAAAATAGCCAAGCTACATATCAAAATTAGAGGAATCAATATTGATTTCTTGCAGTTTTCTGTACATCTCCAACCACTCAAGAAGCTTATAAAGTGGGTTGCATTTTCCCCCTGACATGACCCTGATAAAAAGTGCTAATTTTATACAAGCTATTGACAGAAGCCAAGCTGTCGAAGGACCGCAAACCTAAGCCGAAAACAAAGGTGATTGTTAATGGTTTTTGAAGACCTTCCGAGCACTAACAAAACATCTGCTTTCTGCTTATAAATGTTTTCAATGATTGTAAAAATCATTATGCCAAAACTATCCACACAGCACTAATCATAGCAGAGGATGACTAGATACTTCCAGTATTGATTCTACATGAAGTAAATAGTTCAATTTTGACTAAATTGTGACTCCAAAAGCGGGAATCAGTGGCTAGATCGCCAACCTCGATTCCACCTGCATGGTTCGCCCTCGACAAGAAACGTCAGTGATTATATTCCTTGACATTACTTATATGATTACCTGACGCATGCAGTGCAAGAAAAGAGGTTCTTATTAAAAGAAAGCTCTTGACTCTGTGATACATTCGCCACCATCACAAAACATACTCTCTTGGAGGTAAATAGTCCAAGATATAGACAAAGAAAAGGGTAATTTTGACTTTGGACTGAAACTAAAGATGTTTACTTTCTTGTAACATGTTTCAAAAAATGTTTTCGCTGCTTTGGCTTTTCGAAGCCGAAAATCCAATTTGTGGTATCTTTTTTATGGACACACGTCGCGTCGAAATTGCGTGTATTCAAGCTCCAATCAAACATCGTTGAATTCTTACTTTATACCTTTGGTGTGATTTAATGTTGGACAACTTGAATGTGCGTTCTACTGCAGGGCAGACTCCCAATCCTTGATCTCCTGGTCTTCGATCATCTTAGCCAGAATGAACGCTACATGGGGTTCGTCAAACGAACACCAGCTACTGGTAGAATTTCTGAATCGCAGTCCAGCTACCATCGCTGTAGAGACAAGTATTATACTCCTTATTGGACTGATTGCCATTGGAGGAAATCTTCTGGTAGTAATCTCCATCTTTCGTAATCCCAGTCTTCGTCGTACCATCACTAACTACTTCGTACTCTCACTAGCAATGTCTGATATCATGTATCCTTTTACGAACTTACCATTCATGCTCGCCTGGTCAATAAAGAGCACCTTTACATTCAAGGAAGGCTTGTGGTGTCAAATTCAAGCAATAGTGAGCTTTAGTCTGATTCATGTTTCTATATTAACAATGGCGTTAATGGCGGTCAATCGGTTCGTTCGTGTCTGCAAGACACACAAATATAACAAATGGTTTAACAAAAAGAGTTCCCTGGTAATGCTTGGTACAGTGTGGGTTGCGAGTTACACCTATATGACAGTGAACCTTACAGAAAAGACTCTATTCTACGTCAGGTTCGAACCTCAGAAAATAATTTGTGGTCTGTCGAGAAGCAACAAGGACTTCTTTTCTACAGTACTTATGACTTTATGCTTGGCATTTGGGCTGGGGTTTCCCTTCACTGTCATGGGCGTTTGCTATTACAAAATTTTCAAAAAAATACGAGAACACAAACGAAACATTGCTCCTTTTTCTTCAGACTCTAACGGTAGCAGCCTGGGGATGAGTGTCCAAGAAATCAAAGTCACGTGGACCACATTTGCAGTTTTGATTGGATATTTATTGACATGGCTTCCAATGTTACTCATTGTAGTGGCGTCATACTTTAAAGACCTACCACGTGAGGTTCACATGATAGTGACGTATTCCATGGCCAGCAGTAGTGCTATAAATCCTGTAATATATGGAGTCTTGAACCCAGCGTTTAGAAAGGAGTATAAGAAAATCATCAAATGGCAATAAAGATGATCATTTGTTCTCCACACGTTTGCACAGCCTGGCAACTAGAAAACTGCATGTCAATAAAACCAGCTGATCTGAGAAAAAATGTTAGCCAATGAGAATCGAGAAAATTTGCAAGGGTTTTGCTTTTGTTAACTCCTGAAATTATGAATTTCCAGGCCACAAAATGAAGAAAAAGAAAAAAGAAAAAAGAAAAAAAAAAGCTGCTAATAAGAGGTTGATAACAGTGACACAATAAATAATTGATATTTTTATTACAATGGTGGTCAGGTTTTTATTTTTCGCCTGTCAATTATTGCAGGCTCCAGGACACCTCACTAATGACGCGGACAAGAATAAAGAATCAAGATGGAGATCGATGTGAAAGAGGTCGGCAGGATTATCATTGACTCGGACTTTACCATTTTCCGAAGCTGTTTCGTAAAATATACTCAGCTACTTGAAAATGATATTTATTTGGAGATCTACTGTGGAATATCTTTATCTTATAGCACTGGCTTCGTACTGTAAAGCCGGGAAAAAATCTTTAGTTTTACAAGTAATTTGAAATTTGATTAGCATGCCAATTCAACGAGCTAGCTCAAACTACATGTTTATCCAATCACAGCTTAGAGTGAAAACAAAGGAATCAACTGTTTTTACTCTCTCCTGATTGGCTCCAGTCATTGTTATCTTAAATTTTGCTCAAGTGGTCCCGCGGTTAGTTTGTGCACACTAAACAAAGAAATGCCACTCCAGGGAATGGCACGTGGTCTGAAATGGGAAAACATTAAAAGGTCAAATCTCTAGGAAAATTTTCATATGAAGCGAATAACGCGATATTTTTGAAGATAAAGGTCAAGTATTGGACCCAACGTCATCTGAAAGAGCAAAAAATTTCTTCTGGCACATTCGAGAAAGTAGGTTTCTTTTAAAACGTACATTTGCAAATATTTTGGACTTTGTGTCCATCTCCAGGGGTCTTTAGAATCTTTAGAATTACGACAACAACAAAAAACCGCGTGAGCTGCAGCAAAAATAAGAGGACATGTTGTAACTAAGGAATTCTAAAGCAGTGCTCATGCAGTGCGCTTGGTAAGCGTGCATAGATAGGGATATTCAAGCAGGGCGTTGCTAAGCACAAAACATTTGCAGGGGACGTAGCAAAAAATGCGTTATAAAAGATTGTCTGTTAACAAGCAGACAGCAAGTTGTGATGTGTAGAATTGACTAGACAAAACTGCCAACAAACATCACTAATGCATACTGGGCGAATTTTAAGTCCAAGAAAGCTGTGTTTTAGCTAGAAGAAGAGGGACCAGTTCAATTGAAGTGAACGAAAATACGATTAAATTCATCAGGATTTTCTTTTCGACGAAGCTAGATAGGACACGGAAGAAGGTAAATAAATTAATACTAAAAAAAGCTGCGCCACTGCAGTACTTTGCGGTGGTAATTAGCGATGACAATTTTTTTAAAAGAAAGGAATTATGAATAAGAAAGAAAACGAGGGACGAAGGAAGGAAGGAAACAAGCAAGCATTGAGGAAGGAACGAAGTTAGAAACAAAAAAACACAGTGCGAAGGAAGAAACAGAAAAAGAAGAAATTATATAGCTTAAATTCTACAATCTGCTATTGCATTCCAAGCTGTAAAAGTTAATGATTTAATATATAAGCAACATCATAAGGACAAATTAATGTCACAACTGAATTGAATCAATATTAAAGGAAAAGCTAGCGAGGACAAACTATAATGATGTTCCAAAATAAGACGTACGAATTCTAAATAAACCGATGTTATAATTTTCGCCTAGCATTTTAGGAAGAGTATGTTAACGAAATGCTGCAATAGTTCTAATTACTTCGCCTGAATTAATCTCTTGCATCGACCGCGAGCCCTCGTTAATGTCATGTTATGAAAGAGATCGAGCGGGTCTCGTGTAAATATTACGCCCCAACATAAAGCTTTGAACAACTTAGCACCATGTTATATTAGAAATGTGTTTTCGCCTTGTGTACCTTCCCGTTCACTTCTTTCTTCCAAATTCATAGTTATTAAGACATATGGGAAGAGAGCCTTCTCGATTAGTGCTCCCCACAAATTTGGAATTCACTTCCTATTAACATTAGGAATAGTCAATCTGTTGATGTTAAAAATAAAAATAAAAAAATAAAAAAACAGCGTAAGACCTATTTATTTAGACTAGCTTGTTTAATTAAGTGTAGATTTTTACTAGACGAAGTAACTATATATATATGTATTGCATTAGCATGATATTTTCCTACGTTTCGCATTTTAACTTTTTGTTTATAATCTTGTAACTCAGTGCTTTGAGCACCAGGAAAGACGCGTTATAAATAATAAAGTTATTATAATATTATTATTAACGTATAGCGAAACTGGTCGAACTTTATTGTCCAGGCAACAGGGTGATCGTATACCGAAGGTTGAAGGCTGAAGGTTGGAACTCCTGAGGTTCGACCGTGAACCAAGAGTTTTGGAAGTAAATTTTGAAGCCATGTAATTTTCCATTTTACCATGACTACGAAAGAAGGAGCATTAGCACAAAACTCTAAGCCTAAGCAACTAACAATATTTTTCTAAATATTATTTTACAATGAAACTACGTCTAGCTTTACAATTGCAGCAGGTGCAAGATATGATATTCGATGGAAGATCATTAACTTTAAACATGGCATGTTTACTTTTACTGGATGTCGTATTTTTTATTTTTCAAATTGGATTTATTATTGGTTTAATGTCTTAACCACCACACGGTTAGCGAAGTTAGCAAGAGCGTCGTTCTGTGGTGCGGGAGGTCGTGGCCATGCACGTTAATGGCTATCCCGTTCTTAATCAAATAGAGACGTTAAAAGAAGACCACGAGTTTATCAGTTGAATTACTGTCAAGTGTCATCCTCAATAAACAGGAAGTTGATTATCCACATTTATTCATTGGCTTCTTCTGCTTCGGTCAGTTTTATAACTAAAATTATTATGGAACATCCTGTTGACATGATAGTATATATACCTTATATGCTCTGATGGCGGGTTTAAATAGAGTAGAAATAGCTATATTTCAAAGTTGTACACATCCTAATATTGCAGTAGAGACAAAGTCGTGTAAATATAAATATCGCTGAAATATATATCATTTATCCCCGACGATATATTTATCGGAATATTGGACAGCTCCAACCACTGACTGCTACCCATCTTTTATTCATCCATCTATTACTCATCCATCTATCATTCATCCCTCTATTATTTATCCATCGATCTATCATTCATCCATCCATGCTATCCGTCCAAGCTATCAATCATTTCACCAATATCAGTTGCTCTTCAATTAAAACTTTGCCGAAAGAAACTTACTTATGATCCAATCTGTCAACAACACGACAGTTGATCAGCAGGTCTTTCATTCTTTTTCCTTCCTTCCTTGCTTCCTTGATTTTCTCGAAAAATCAAAGTACACTACATCTTCATGATCGATCATATGTAATCCAAAATTTGGTAAACAATAGATATATCCAATATGACAAGCAGCATACAAATATACATATTATATATATATATCTTTTTGCGTTTTCCCTGCCTCAGAACATGTATCTATATTTGTATCATTTTCCCCCTTCGTATTTTGAACTGGAGGCAAAGTTAAATAAATAAAAACTAAAAACATGCGACGAGTAAGACATTGCAAAAATACTGGAAAACAGTTTCCTCAAAAACCTTTTGAAAACTTAATTAAAAAGTTAAATTAAAGAAATAATAATTAGAATTTGAAGAGAATATTTTAATCAAATGAGAATGGAAAGTATGAGATGAAAATCGCTGTATAAAAAAATATATGAAAAAAGTTTTCGTCATGTATCAGTGGTTTCTGCTTAAGAAAGTTGTCTTGTACTTTCAGTGTGGCATATATCTTTACCACGTTTACTAAGGCAAGTATAAGTGGAGAAATTTTCGTTCGAAATTTCTTAAGTTAGAAATTCAAGCAAAAATTTATGATAAGTAATACAGTAGTTAGGAAAAATGTTGACAGACTGGCGCTTTAGTTATAGAAAAAGGACTAAGACACTAGATGTATTCGCGGCTGGTTTTGGAGAAATCAAGAGAACTGTCTATAAAAAAGAACGCGCTTTTTATTTATTCACACACATAACGTATTGTCATAACCATTGTAAGACAATTTTTAAAAAACTTGGGTTACAAACACGAAAAGAAAGAAAATACATGTCTGTGTGTGTGGTTGTTAAGACTTTCGAGTCAACAAAAAAAAAAAAACACAGATTTTTGTCAAGTCAAAGAAAAAACTTAAAGCTATTATTTTTGCATTTGGATCGAATGCATTTTCAGATATTAAATAAAAACTAGAGAGCTTAATTTTTTTATATAGATGAGTATTTTTTCCCATATTGCAGATATAGAAAATTGAAAAGTAGATTTACAATAATTAGTTCTAGCTTGTAGACAACAGAACATGCAAAATGTCAAAACCGAGAATTTGAAGCCAAGGTAAACTCTTTGTGAGTCGGGTTTCTGCTCGTGCAGCAAACGAATACACTCAATGCAGATGCAGATGCTTTCTTGTTTTACGATAAAGTTTTAGTTGCACTATTTATTTTAGGGAGCTGAGAACATGGTCTCTTGGTTCGATCGTGTGAGTTAGCCGTGCCCTGATCTAGATCAGCCCAGAGGTTGCTTCAGGGTTCGATCTGTGAGTTGGCCGTGCCCTGACTTAGATCAGCCCAGAGGTTGTTTCAGGGTTCGATCTGTGAGTTAGCCGTGCCTTGACTTAGATCAGCCCAAAGGTTGTTTCAGGGTTCGATATGTGAGTTAGCTGTGCCCTGACTTAGATCAGCCCAGAGGTTGTTTCACGGTTCTATTTGTGAGTTAGCCTTGCCCTGACTTAGATAAGAGGCTATTTCAGGGTTCGATCTGTGAGTCAGCCACATTAGCCAGAGGTTATTTCAGGGTTCAATTTGTGAGTTAGCAGTGCCCTAATTTTGTTCTGCCCAATGCTTGGATTTTTCATTCTAGCTAGTTCTTGTAGTATAAAACAATAGAAATGTCGTCCTTTGGAAGTAGAAGTGTTTTGTGACTGTTTTGCGACTGTTGTTAAACATAGCCATGAAACCATGCCATGACGACCTGATATTCCTCCATTGAATTAATCCTATGCTGTTCATGTCTTTTCTTTGTACAGTTTATTGAACGCTATCTTTCTTTACTATTCATGTTTTAGAATGAACGTCACGATTTATCAAAATTTGCTTGAATTCTGGAATCGCAGTCCAGCTACCATCGCTGTAGAGACGAGTATTTTACTCCTTATTGGACTGATTGCCATTGGAGGAAATCTTCTGGTAGTAATCTCCATCTATCGCAATCCCAGTCTTCGTACCATCACTAACTACTTCGTACTCTCGCTTTCCGTGACTGACATCCTATATCCCGTACTGGGTTTGACTCTCACAATCGCTTGGTCTATAAAGAGTCGCTTCGCTTTTGGTCACAATATGTGTTTTATGCAAGCCCTTATAAGTATCAGTCTAAACCTAATATCAGCTGCAACGATAGTCTTAATGGCCGTCAATCGTTACGTTTGTGTCTGTAAACCACAGTACTACAAGAAGATTTACAACATCAAGACATGTTTAATTATGATTGGATCGGTTTGGATCGCAACTTTCACTTTGCCGATTTTGTTAGTTGCCAAAAGCTTTTGGGTAGTAGAGTTTATACCAGAGAAAATCTTATGTGGATATTTCTATAATAACAAAGATATCGTGGTAAGTGTAACGACCAATACAATTCTGTCAATTGCTCTAGTTATACCTGTTGTCATCATTATCTACTGCTACTACAAAGTGTTCCAAAAAATAAGACAGCATAAGAAAAACATTGCTCCTGCCTCCAACCCTAGCAGCCTGCGCACGAGCGTACAAGAAATCAGGGTCACGTGGACAATGTTCGCAGTGTTGGTTGGCTATTGTTTAGCTTGGTCTCCAGCTCTCCTCTTCATACTTGCGACAAACTTAACCAATGTTAACGTACCTCGTCAGTATCATTTGGTAGTTACATACACAGTGGCTTGCGGTAGTGCAATAAATCCTGTTATTTATGGATTGTTGAACACGGCGTTTAGAAGAGAGTTTTTAAAAATCTTAACGTGTAAATGACTACCTCGGGCGCAATGTTTTCCAATTTGTCACGTGTCATTTACTATAGCAATAGTGTTTTTTTTAACGGTTGAAACTGAGATGACAATGGAATATGAATACGAATACGACAACGTATTCTTAAGAAAAAAGACAAATGGTTTGAAATGGGAAATTGTTAAGACCAAGGTGAAGAGAACTTTTATCAAGCGCTGAGCGAAAAAGCACGGATAAACGTCAAGGGAGAATGGAAACAAACCTTTGGACAAGATGAGGACCAGAAAAGAAAGAGTCAGGCAGAGAAAAAAAGCAAAATTGAAGACGCAGAGTTGACATTTAAACATGTAAACAGAACTATACACATGCCAAAAGAATTGTACATATGTCAACAGAATTGTACATATGTCAACAGAATTGTAAATATGTTAACAGAATTGTACAACAGAACTGTACACATGCCAACAGAATTGTAAACATGTTAACAGAATTGTACACAT